GTAGGCGCGTAGCGCCGAGTTGGCTATAATCATCTCATATCCAACAAGCGCGAGTGGAATAATTGTTTTATTAAAAACGTTAAATTAAATTAAATTTTATTCAATTTTTAGCTCCCTTTTAATTTTAATCTGACACATACGCTTGCCATATTTGTAGATTATGGTATATTGGCTGATATACCATAATGGCTAAGCCAATAAAAAGTCTTGAATTGCATTATCCAATGATCTAGTTTTTAATAATGATTTCACTGAAAAAATAAACAATTCCAGAGGCTAAAATATGTCAATAAGGTATAATTTCCTTCTTTTCCAAAGGGGAGGAAAGAAAGGGTTGTGTAATCTTCCCAAACCTGTTAGTCCTGGTTTCCACTACTCATCCCCTTTTTTTTTTTTTTTTTCTTTTGCTGACTTCTCTTCTTTGTGCTTTTTTGAAATTTTATCTCTTATCCTTTTTTTTGAGTTACATTTTTCTCTCCCTAATTTTTCCTTCCTTCCTTTCTTTCCTTACCTACGGAGAGCATACAAGAGGTAGAAAAGTGGGAAGCAGGATTCTCAAGAAAGCGAACACTGGTGAAACACTTAAACATTGCATAATAATTTTTGACAGCAAAGTCCCCATCTGGGACCACTTCTGTGAAAGCAAAGAAAATGTTACTTTGTTTGCATATTTCAGCCTCCGGATGTGGTTTATCTACGGTTGAATCATGATCATTAGATAAAATAATGACAAGGTAAAAATGATGCCAGAAGAATATTTTGATGACTTTTTACTCGTGGTCACCCGTGGTCACTGGTGTATACTTTTAGACATGACCATAACAAGTGTACTAAAGGACCTTTAATCCTATTTTAAAAAAGTGCTTAGTTATTAATTTATTTTTGCCCCTGCTGCAGGTTCATCTGAAAGCAGATTAATAGCCACACCAGTCAGTTATAAACGGCCATCATCCATTGATGTTGGTGATCAGATTTCTAAGCGAGTCAAGCAAGAGTTTACTTGTCATGATCCTGGTGAAGGTACGTATACGATAGTAAGTCGATAATGCAATAATTAATAATTTCACAAACTTGAGAGCTTTGTATGGCTCAGCAGATGCCACATTGTTTTTTTTTTTATGGAACTACCCTTTATCTATTTAGCAACATTTGTGAAATTTTGGAAAAATCTAGAAAAATCATAAATGTTCATGTACTTGTGATTGATATAAATATATACAAACTAATCCAATGAAGCCTTACACTGCTGTAAAATGGTTTAAAAATGCGAGCTTTCGCCGATCAATGGCATCATCAGCTGATGCTGTTGATCGGCGAAAGCTCGGATTTTTAAACCATTTTACAGTAGTGTAAGGCTTCATTCGATTAGTTTGTACCTGCTGAAGGACAACATGAACAGATTATTTACTTGTGATTGAATCCAGAGATAAATGAGCCAACCATTTCATCTCATGTTTAAGCATTTCAGCTCAAGAGGGCTTCTCTGGTTTTTGCTTCCGAAACTCATTTGGAGAATATGGATGGTTTCATCTTCCCATAGCAATTGACAAACTGAGTCAATGGAGAGGACACACTGAGAGTGAATTAGATTGCAATCTTTTACGTAGGATGCACGATCCTCGCAGTAGATAGCGCTATTTATGCAATAGCGAAAATCAGACCTGAAAAAAATCAGGCCTGTACTGGATTCGAACCACTGACCTCTGCGATACTAGTGCAGCACTCTACCAATTAAGCTAACAAGCCAACTGGGAGCAGGCCGTTAAGTTGATTCGTAATAAACCCGTGATGATAAATCAGATACAATGAATATATGATTATATGATGAATATATATTGCAATCTTTTATTGCTCTTATTGATAACATTGTCAGAAAATAGAGAATTAACCAGTATACGTGTGAAGAGTCAGCTCTTGCAACTGAGGAAATCTCAACGAGTTTTTTTAGTAATTTAGAATTTTACCTTATCGTAGCAGATCCGAAGAATCTTAGTATGCTGCTTTTCAACAATTGATCTTTTTCTTTTCCGAATCGCGGCCCAGTTAGCTCATGTTGTAGAGCGCCAGACTGCCGTGCTGGAACCCAGACTGGACCAACACTCAGGGTCTTAAAATAACTGAGGAAAATGTGTTGCCTTTGCTATGATATGTGCAAATGGTTAGGCATTCTAGTCTTCTCGGATAAGGACGAAAAACCGTTGGCCACATCTCCTGTACCTTCTCTGTACTGGTTAGCAGAAGACATTACAGAATCCACACATTTATTGCAAAGAATAGTGAACGTAGCTTTCGGCGTTGTGGTCTGGCCTGTTTATTGAGGGCATATGTTGAATTTGCCTTTTTTCAGTGTAAACTGCTACAACAGTCTGGTAGAGTTCCCGCACAATTTGGTAAGATTGGCCCTGAAAAGCCCCATGGGGAGTGGTTAACTAACCTATATATGTAAACATGTTCGTGACTTGGTTTGGAATGTTGTTGGTAGCATTAATATATTGCTTTATAAGACTTGTCTAGCATTGAGCTGCAGCAAGTCCTGAGAACTTAGCTTATACATGTACCTTGTTCCTTGCAGGTAGGGAAATCCCACCAGTTCAAGAAAGTCGTCAGTCTCAATGTGATTCCATAGCCAATGGTAATTGCTACAGCGTAGCGTTTTAAAATTCTTCTCCATTACTAGTCATCTTAAAATTTAGCTAGTGGAGAGGTTTCCTATTTATATTTCGGTCCACCTCCAGTAGATTGTGGCCTCAGTGGTAATTACTTTGAATTTAGTTATGCTGTTTCAGCATCAGCTCTTCGAATTAAAGATCTGAAAGATTTCAATGTTCGTGGTTACTTCTGTAAATGTTTTAATTTAAATTCATGAATTATTTTCTTAATCTGTGTAATCACATGTCATATGCATACAGCCTAAAACTTCGTCTCCATTCGGAAACATGAAACATGTACAGAAGTTAACCATGTTATTTTCATAACCTTCCTTTAGACCATGACCTTACTGTCTTTACAAAACTTCTCAGAGCCGAGTACAATAGACGATCTCTTTCTAAAGCCGCTCCTTTGGGAGAACACGTTAAAGCTCCCTCTTGATGATGTTTACACAATATTGTCAATGGTGGGGAGAAGAAAAACAGATTTTAGATTAGAAGACAGAAAAGTGAAGATGTTTGACATCTTCAAAACACTCAACCAAAGCGGAGAATCTATGGTGCTCGTAGAAGGAAGCCCTGGAATTGGAAAGACAACTTTTTGTCTTAAAATTTCTCACGACTGGGCAAACCAAAATATCCCAAATGAATCTGCTTTTCCAATTTTCAAACTTTTGCTGCTGCTGAGATGCCGAGACATTCAGGGAGATTTAATAGATGCCATTGTTGATCAGCTCCTCCCTGAAGGTATGGATGGGAAAGGTTAAGGAAAAGCTAATAGATTACATCAAAGATGTTCATAACCTGGAAAGTATTTTGATCATTTTAGATGGCCTTGATGAGGTTCCAGCTAACATGCAATCAAACATTTTCATTTACTTTAAATGTCCATGACGTGAATGTGGTTTACGAAGTGTGCGCCGAAGTCGACTTATTTGGAGTCGATTCTTCCTCATTAACATCAGCATTTACAAAATTCGAGTTTATCTGCTCACGTGTGAGTAAACTGAGTCTGAACTTTCATAACCCCAATGAATCAAGTGAGGATGACTGGGGATGCGGTCTCGGTGACGTTTTGGCGAAATTCGAGTCACTTGCGACATTGAGCCTCTCATTCAACAACTACGATGGCATGCATAAAGGCTGGATGGGTGGTCTGTGGAGTGGTGTGGCACAAAACACGTTAATAACCACCCTGAGTATTACGGTCAATTATCACAGTCACATGAGTGGAGACTTGGAGGGTGGTCTGTGGATTGGTTTGGCACAAAACACGTCATTAATCACGCTGAATATTACTTTCAACAACTACAGTCACATGAGTGGAGAATGGGTGGGTGGTCTGTGGAGAGCTTTGGTTGGAAACACGTCGATAACCATGTTGAGTATTACAGTCAACAATTACAATGACCTGAGGGGAGACTGGGAGGGTGCTCTGTTGAAAGGATTGGCACAAAACACGTCAATAACAACGCTGAGTATTACTTTCAACAAGTACGGTGACATGAGTGGAGACTGGATGGATGATCTTTGGGATGGGTTGGCGGAAAACACGTCAATAACAACGCTGAGTATTACTTTCAACAACTACGGTGACATGAGTGGAGAATTGAGGGGTGGTATGTGGAGTGGTTTGGAACAAAACACGTCAATAACCACGCTGAGTATTAAAGTCAACAACTTCACTGAGAGGAAGGGAAGATGTAAGGTTGTTCTGTGGAGAGGTTTGGCACAAAACACGTCATTAACCACTCTGGGTATAACATTCAACAACTGCAGTGACATGAGTGGAGACTGGATGGATGATCTTTGGGATGGGTTGGCGGAAAACACGTCAATAACCACGCTGAGTATTACAGTCAACAACTACAATATCGAGGGTGAAGACTGGACGGGTGGTCTAGGGAGTGGGTTGGCAAGAAACACGTCAATAACCAAGCTGACTTTTACATTCAACAACTACAGTATCATGTGTGGAGAATGGGTAAGTCTTCTGTGGAATGACGAAGAAGAAAACACGCAGATAACCATGCTTAGTATTACAGTCAACAGCTACGGTTACATGAGTGGAGACTGGAAGTATTGTCTGTGGGTTGGTTTGGGAGAAATAACGTCTTTAACCGTGCTGAGTGTTACAGTCAACAACTACAGTGATTTGAGTGGAGACTGGAATAGTGTTCCGTGGAATGGTTTGGAGAAAAACACATCATTAACCACTCTGAATGTTACAGTCAACAACTGCTGCGAGATGAGTGGAGAGTGGATGAGTAGTCTGTGGAATGTTCTGGTGGAAAACAAATCAATAACAACGCTGAGTTTTAAGGTCAACAACTACGTTGAGATGCGTAGCGAATGGATGGATGGTCTGTGGAATGGTTTGGCGCAAAACACGTCACTTTTCACATTTAATCTTACACTCAGCAACCGCAATAACTCATATGTAGACTGGATACACAAACTGAGTCAAACTTTGGCAATGAAGAAGTCATCAATCAAAATTTGTATTGAAGTGAACGTGTTCAGTGAGAGAAATGACAACTGATTCGAACTGGGTCTGACCTAGCGAAAAGCACACATCTTAAACATCTTCAACACTGACTGAATACATTCAACGTGAGCTTGTGTTCATACTTGTCGAATATTGGATGATTTTAATTACAAAGACTGCAAATCTGATCCTGAACAGTAAATACATTCAACAGCTACATCAGTGACGGGAGAGGAGACTGGGTGTGATTCTGAATTTGACATGGAAGAAACATCACTACGATCCTTGTGACATCAGAAGAGTCACTGGTTTATTGTAGATCTAGTTTTTTTTTAATCAGCAAAGAAATGAACGGCGCCTACATGTTTCAGTTGAACTGAACCGAACCGCAATACAGCAAACGAAGACTCCTGAAAGACTCCGACTATTCCGTGATGAAGGGTTAAAGACCACAGGACGCATGCCCAGTCCTTGACATTCTGTGAAGTTAGAAGATGCTTTACAGAGGGTAAGTTATTCACTTCATTTAAATCAACATCAGGCTTATAGGAACAAGCCATTCTGTGTTGATTCAAAAAATGTATGAAAGTGTGGTATAACTTCTAATTTTGGTGAGCTTTGCAGTTTTCAGTATTGTATAAACTTGAGATATTAAGATTTGTTTGCTTCTTTACACTCACTTCAGGTACTATGTGCGATAGTACACCTTTTGCCTTTACCAGGAACCCGCTACCTGAAGTCTGGTGGGTACAGTCAGGTAACCACACATTTGAAACATTTTATCGCAGTGTATACTTTAGGTAGATAGTGTTCAGCTGCTTTTTGGAAACCAAAGGGTAGGAAATAAAAAAAAAAACGAAAACGAAGCTGGAGTAACTTTGTACAAAAGTGGAGGTTAATCATTTTTATAAAGATGTGTTGTTGAGTGGAGTTTGTGATTTGTTGTTATCTGGGGTGATGATACCGTCGAAACAGTCAAAACTATGATTGTGTTTAACTTTTTGAGTGGAAGTGGCTCATAGCTGTGATACTTTGTGGTTAAATTACAATGATACGATGAGAGAAATAGATATGAATAACCACTTGAGTAAATAATGGTATGGTATTTATTGGAGCTGAAAATCGTTACTTATTTAAGCTGTTTTTTTTTCCGGCCCAAATTTTTGTTTTGTACTCCTTGCAATTTTCGTCTTTTTCTGACTGTCAAAGTTTACCTCTGAGTTGAAAAGTTTTTTGTTTTGAAGGTGACATTTTTTTTTTCTGTGTTAGCGTCTTAGAGTTAGTACCTTCGGCCGTAGAGGTGTCTTAAAGTAGAAGCCTTTGCTTTTCAATACTCTCGAAAGGAAGATTTCCAAAGAAGCTGTTTTATGTCGTGGCAACTAAAGATTTGGACTTCTCTGTCAAGGAGGGTTAATGACCACAATGACGTCATCACAGTCTTTGATTGGATGTGATGTTAGAGGACACGTGACAGAAGGTAAGTCTTCACATCCCGTGAAGTAACAGTAGGCTTGTACGGAGAGGTTATGCTGTACTAAAACTCAAAATTATTAGTGGCTGGACAATTTCTAATTAAAGTTAACATAAGTTTTATTCTTGTATGCCACAAAGTGAGAGGGATTTTCCTATATCATAGCTTTCTTTTATGACAGGTACCACGTTTTTTTCATGGAGCCAGATTTTAACTTTAGTTTCTCGAAATCAGAAGCACTATCAGCGCAGCGGTAAGTTAGATTTGTGTTTAAAATGCATAATGAAATGATTTGCGAACGGTATTGATTTTAAGCTTATCCTCGAAGTATACACAGTGCTTGTGACAAAGCTAATCCTAGAAGTATAAACAATGGTTATCACATTTGAACCTTCCATGCGTCGCAGCTTACCACTGAATTATCTGCAGCTTAGTAGTAGAGCATCGGAGCGCGAAATCCGCAGGTCTGGGTTAGATTCCTCGCGATGGATAAGATTCTTCCAATTCGTCCATTATTTCTCTATTTATCAATAAGTTTCCTACTGTTTCTTTAACAGCCTTCGTATCCCAGCTGACTAGCTGTCAGCGCGATGATGGTTTAAATGGTCCAGAAGTATCCGAGAGTATCTTAACCAGGAACAAGCCAAGCGACCCATCATTTCTTATCAACTGATGGGAACAGTTTTTTAGACACATATGAAAATCTTGTTAGTGGTTGTAGGCTCATTGACGCATTTTAAGTTTAGTGATGGATGAAGGAAATACTCGACTACTGTGTAACATCTTCTATTATTTCACCAATTGTAAAGGAGAGTGGAAAATTTTTGTGGTAACTCATGGCAGTCCTTCGTAAGGTGACAGGTACTCAGTCTACCTCATCGTGATTGACGTTGGAAGTGACCTCATCATGAGTCAAGCGATAGCACTTCGCCACCATAATTAGTTCAACAGCCATTTTTTACGATATTGAATAAATTTGTAAAGAGGATTATAAAATTTCTCTTCAGTCTTTGTATTGAAAGGTGATTGATGGAAGCAAAGTGGAGGAATTTAAGATTTTGTCACAAGAAAGCGCTTGTATCATTCTCACACCATAATTTTGTTCTAAATACTTAGCATTCAGCATTGTCCGCTCGATGCTAAGATTAAGTAAATTATATAAAAGAGTAGCCTCCATTTTGCGCGAAGATGTGCACAGATATTTATCCACGGACTTTATCTGTTCCGAGATGGGAATAGTTTACCAAGAGCGAATCTCGAGAAAAACTGTGAGCTTCGCGGAAGAGGTAATGTTCAAGGATGAATAAATAGGCATGTTTTCGCGCCAAATGGGGCTATTGTGTTTATTATCCTTAAAATATTTTTGAACGCGCGGGGAAAATGTTTACGAACAGCTTACCATTTGCGGCGGGCGATGTTCACTTTTCAGTGTTTTCTGATACAATTTTATGTACAAAAAATATCGGATTCCTCCCAGTTTGGTCTAGTTTTAGTTGGGAGATATTCTGTCACGTGATACGTATAGACCAATCGCGCGCGAGCCAAAATATTTGTTGGATTATAGACCCCGTTATATGAAAAAGCGAAATACGTGACAGAATTGAAGTCGGATAAATTAGAACGTTTCCATTTTGTTTCTACACTCCTGATCCAATGAAAACTGAATTGTGGGAGTCGCAAGCTTAAACGGAAGAACCAACCAATCACAGTGACATTAATTTGTCTTACCATCCTTTAGCTGAGAACCCTCATGATCTAGTTTTGATTTGATCTCAAGCAGTAGAGTCCTAAGCGCCATGAAATGCTTTGCTTTCCTTTTGTTTGATTTTCATTCGATGGTAGCGCTCTGCCCTTCTTCCTACAAAAGCCTATCCAATTTTTTGTTGTCTGGCTGGTCGGACTATTGGACTAATCTTACTGGCCTTCAAAGCAGTCTTCTCATGTTGACCAGCTGATTGTTAAGAGCGGAACGGAAGTTCATATTTTAAGGCGAAAAGTATATAATCGTAACCGAATACCTCTTATCCATAGAACTTAAGTTATTTGCCGCACTCACCTGCCGATTCATCGTAAAACTGTAACGATTCTATTTTTTGAAGACTGGAATCTGAGACAAGAACTCGCAAAAGAAAAATACCGACCAGAGTAGGTGTAAGTTATTGCACCGACTTGCAATTGTCATGTCTGATTGCGTTAGCCTGTGAAAAAATCCTCAAATCAAGGAATCCTTCCCTTGGGGTGTAAAGGCAGTCCAGGCTTTTAGTCACCCTAAATAATAACTTTTTCGGTGACACAAGTTAGACCGGGGGGGGGATATTCCTTTACACCCTGCTCAGCTACGCCCTTGCTTTACTCAGGAATGCCTCCCTTTATCTTAACTCTCTTGGCAATGCCAGATTGTTCTTACTCTAACACAAGGGGCAATGAAGGAACACCTCACGACAAAGTTCGTTCAGGTGGTCCCCTTACATTGGCCTGCCTCACCAGCTGTGGTACTTCGGCTAAGTGGATCCCTGCACTCCACTCAGCAACGTATCACAGGCGAACGCGCTGAAGCAGGACGAGACACGCAACGTTTTAAACGGCACCCCCTTCGACCTGTCATATGTGCAGTGCCTGGTCAGGACCCGTAGTGTGCAGATCATGCTGCCGGCTCGAGAGGAATGTTATTATATGACTGTGTCTCACAAGGACTGGGAACTACCAAATTCACGAATTTGATTGGCTGAAATCAATATTGAAACTAATTAAAGTTAACATAAGTTTTATTCTT